TGCCTCTGTCTCTCTCTTTGTCTCTCTGTCTCTCCCTCTCTCTCTCCTCTTCTCCCTTTGTCTCTCTCCTCTCTCTGTGTGTGTCTCTCATTCTCTGCCTCTGTCTCTCTCTCCTCCTGTCTCTCTGTCTCTGTCTCCGTTCCTCTCTGTCTCTCTGTTTCTCTGTCTCTCTCTTTGCTCCCATCTCTGTCTCTCCCTCTGTCTCTCCTCTTCTCCCTTTGTCTCTTTCCTCTGTGTGTGTGTGTCTCTCTCTCTGTCTCTGTCTCTCCCTGTCCCTCTGTCTCAGTCTCTCCCTCTCCCTTCTCCCTTTGTCTCTCTCCTCTCTCTGTGTGTCTCTCTGTCTCTCTCTCTTTCACACACACACACACACACACACACACACACACACACACCTTAATTTCTCTGCTATATTTGGCACCTGCAGAAAAACTGGAAGCAAAAAAGGGAGTTGGAGCTTTAACAATAAAATAACATGAGGCACCTACTCTGAGCCACGTGAAACGCTTGAGGAGGGAGACTTTTTTTTATTCAGCCTACTTAAATGTCAGTGACTAAGATTTGATGAATGTCCCCTTGCCGAGAATACTGGCTGTTATTATTTGTGGGCAACAGTGTGGTCTGTTTACAGGTCAGTATAAGCCAAACGCTGAAAGAAACAAGGGCAGATATAATGGAGAGGAGCCGGTATGCCCAATGAGTGGCCCAAATGAAAGTATAAATATAAACACTCCATCAACAAATATTGATTTATCTGATGAAGGGGGAAATGGGTAGGGAACAAGCATTTGTTAAGGTCCTACTATTTGCCAGACACAGCACTAAATATTGGAGATACTAAAGAAGGAAAGAAACAAGCATTTATTAAGTACCTATTGTGTACCAAGCACTGTGTTAAGCACTGTGCAAATATTATCTCATTTGATCATCACAACAACCCTGGGAGATAGACCCTATTATGATCCTTATTTCGTAGTTGAGAAAATTGAGGTAGACAGAGGTTAAGTGACTTGTGCCAGGGTCTCATAGCTACTAAGTGTCTGAGGCTGGATTTGAACTCATGGCTTCCTGAAGCTAGGCCCAACACTTTATCCACTATACCAGCTACCTAACGAGGTAATTAGAAAAATTTGCTTTCCCATAACACCACAGGCCTGAAATATATAAGCAACATATATGAGAGAAAGGAAGTTACACTGGGATGACTGGGGCTTCTGTTGAATCATGGTATCAATTAGGGGCATAAAACTGTGTGGGGCAGGCCACTTTCTAAGGAACACCCTAGTCAAGTTGGTAAATGTGGGTGTGGCAACAACCTCGTGGAGCTGTGTAAAGGTGGCACTCTAGGAATGGGAGCTGAGATGGATGCATACCAGCCATTGAGACGCCTCCTTGGTCCCTACCTTTTGTAAAAGTAGGAGGCCCCCAAGTTGGCTGCAGCATCCTTGATCAGTCAGAGCCAATATCAAAACTCTTTCACAGACTTGCCCTCCCACCCCCATCCCCACCCCACACATCTTGTTGATACGGTATAGTGGAAAGAATGTTGGATTTAGAGTCAAAGACCCTAGATCTGCTAGATACTACCTGTGTGACCCTAGAAAATCACTCATCCTCTCTGGGCCTCAGTTTCTTCATCTGTAAAATGAGGCAGTTGGACGACATGGCCTTCAGGGTCCCTTACAGCTCCAAATTGAGGATTTTACACTTCCTGAAGAACATCAGGGTTCAGAGGAGTAGCGTTTGATCTCATGCAACTTCCTCCTTTTATACCTAAGCAACTTACCCAAGGCTACAAAGGAGGCTGGTGCCAGCGTCCCAGGCCTCAGCAAGCCTCTTAAAGTGAATGGTCAGCTTAGCAGTTGAAGATAATCTAAGTGTGAGGTTGGGGCTGAAGATATAAATCTCTAATCAGCAAAACAAATGATCAGAATGGCTATGACGGTTAAAGCAGAGAGAGTAAACTCTCCAAGTCAGGGAATCTACAGGTAGAAACACACCTGAGCTTTACTGGCACAGCCACAGATGTAGATGGGGCTGGCTTGGAGAGAGGGCCACTGGCAGAGTTCAGTGAGCATTTGTTATTCAGTCATTTTTCAGTTATGTACAACTCTTCTTGGCCACATTTTGGGTTTCCTTGGAAAAGATCCTGGAGTGATTTTCCATTTCCTTCTCCAACTCATTTTACAGATGAGAATACTGAGGCAAACAGAGTTAAGTGACTTGCTCAGGGTCACATAGCTAGTAAGTGTCTGAGGTCAGATTTGAACTCAGGAGGACGAGTCTTCCTGACTCCAGACCCAGCAGTCTATACACTGTGCAACCTAGCTGTCCTCCGTGAGCACACAAAGCATCTGTTGGCTTTAAGCAGCCTGTCCACTACCCACTGGCTAGGCATTTAAAGCCCTTTACAATACAATTTACCTTTCCAGGCTTATTTTGTACTCCTTTCACTATTTTCCAACCAAAACAGGCATACTTGCTTTTCCTTGAATGCAATATCCCACCTCCAGGCTATGTCCTATGCCCACAATGTACTCTTTTCATTTCCACCTCTTGGAATCCCTAGCTTCCTGTATGATTCAGAGTATGGACCATTTCCTACAGGAAGCCTTTCATGATACCCCTTCTTTGTTAGTGCTTTCTCCTTCTCAAATGATCATGTTTATAAGTCTATCTACTTTTTTATATCTGTTTCCTCCAAGAGATAACTTGAGTGAGAAATCATTCTCCATTTTGTCTTTGTATTCCCAGTGCCTAGCATGGTGTTTTATATACAGTAGGTGTTTATTAAATGCTCATTCAGTTTGGGTTGGAGTGGACTAACCTCCTGTTTTCCCTGGCTGTCCCTTGCTTTACTCTTCCCTGCCATACTCCTTTCTTCTTCTAGCCTGCACATTACCTCTGTCCTTTCATCCAAGTTCTCCTCCCTTGCATCATAGACTGATCACCACCCATGATACAGAGGCCCACCTTTAGCAGAGGATGATGGTCTTACACTTTCTTTGCCTTGGGTAATAGAGGGAGTAGAAGGAGCCAGGGCAGAATTTCGGCATTGATGCTAATTTTTAAAGCTTTGGGTAAAACTGATATTAACTCTTTGTCAGGTCCATCAAGGAAAGCCTCCTTTGAAAAAAGGATCTTTGAGATACCCAGGCTAAAACATAGTAGAAAAGAAGGAATAAAAACTTTAGCAAGTGTCTTTAACTTGTGGGAAATGCTTAATCGCCTTCTGATTTTGCCCTGTCCTACTCTCATCTAAGTAGTATATAACTCACTAAGGTTGATTAGGTTAATTTTCATTAAGGTTGATAAAGTTGATTTCTGACCCTAGATGGTAGTTGCTAGAAGTCATACTTAGGATGTCTCTACCTGAGGTTTTATTAATAAAGGAACACTGAACCCTAGGTTTCTCTGGGAAATAAGACTCAGGTTCATTCAGCTATTCATTCATTAATTCACTCAACAAATATTTATTGAGGCAACCTGATATAGCGGATAGAATATGGCATTTGAATCCTGCCTCAGACACGTGGTTGTTTGGTTGTCGTATCTCACTCTTGAAGAGGACCAAAATGATGTCACCATGTTGGACTCAAGGTAGAGTGTGTCTAACTGTGGCCGATCAGACCAATACTCAGCTCAGAAGGCTCTACTACAGGTGAGGTACAAATAGTCCTTACAAATATTTGGAGTGGAGATGTCTCTAAATTTGTGCCTCTCACGTTTTGTTTGAGCTACAGCAATTCTGTTTTGTCTATAGGGTACAGCACCTTCTCTGCTGTGGGCACGCCATGCTGGGCAGTCCTGTGCCAGTGTCTTCCATGTCTCAAAACTGATTCCAAAGTTCTTCAGAGAGACTTGGAAAGTGTCCTTGCATTGCTTCTTCTCACCACCATGAGAGTGCTTGCTTTGTGTGAGTTCTCTGCGAAAGTCAGGCACTTACGAGCTGTGTGACTGTAGCCAAATCACCCGACCTTCCTCATCTGTAAAATAAGGGAATTGCACTCGATGACCTCTAAGATCCTTTCTAGCTCTAATTCTGTGGTTCTATTACCATTTCTAACAACTCATAATCATATTCAGTTAAATTCAATTAAAAAAAAAGAACGTGTGTCAAGTGCTTACCATGAGCCACACTGTAGCTACAAAGACAAAAAAAAATGGTCCTTGTCATGAAGAAGCTTACATTTTACTTTATGATTTTTTTCACAACAACCTTGTGTGGCAGATAGCGCTAGGACATTGTTATTCTTATTTTACTGATGAGAAAACTTGGGCTCACCGTGGTGAAATAACTTAGTTGAGATCTCATGATCAGTAAGTGTCAAAGCCAGGTCTCAAAGCCAGGTCTTTTAGCTCTAAACCATCAATCCTTTCCACTAGGCCACAACTATGTGCAAGGCCCTGAGCTAGTTGACAGATGGGATAGTTTAACAAGTCAGACATCATCCTGTCTTCAGGGATTTACAATTATTAGGTGAAATATGCCTACATGAGGCATAGAGTGCCATAAGAATTCTACCAACAGAGATCTGTAGGAATTCAGAAGAGGAAGAGGTTAATTTCAGCTAGGATAATCAAGGAAAGTATTTGAGCTTTAAAGTCTTTAAAGACAGGTAGGATTATAACAGACAGAGATGTAAGAGAGGATTCCATGTAGTGACAGTAGTGAGAGCAAAGGGATGAAGCCAGGAAACCATAAGGAAAGCACAGGGAATAGTGGCTAGAGTGTAGGGTATGTATAAAGAGGGAGTGGGAGAGAAGACTGGGTCTATAGTATAGAAGGCCTTGAGTACCATTCTAAGAAGTTTGGATGCAGTACTGGGACGCTTTCTTAATAACGATATAACCATCTGAAGGCAGGATGTCTTCTTGGTTGGATTTTACTAATGGGATTTGAATCCAGTATAGTAGAAGTTGTAAGCATACTCTGACTGATGTGATTGATTGACTCCAAAAACATGGTAATAGGCAAGAAAAATTTATATGTGGGTAGGGCAATTAGTAGCTTAGGAACAAAGCTCAGTAGAGTGAATCATGTATTATTTTATCCATAGCCTTCCTTTGGACTGTTGGTATTGCCAATGTCTCTGTCTTTACCTCTGTATACTTTCTTCACTGATGACTTCATCAAATCCCATACGTTTAATTAGCTCTATGCAAGTGATCCACAGATTTATATATACCTGAACTCCATCCCACATCGCCAACTGCATATTGGTTGTTTTGAACATGATGTCCTGTAGACATTTCCAACCCAACATGTCCGAAACAGAATTCATCACCTTTCCTCTCCAACCTACTCCTCTGCCAAACTCTCCCATTTCTTGTGGAACCACCATCTTTCCAGTTATCAGGGTTTGCAACATTAGTATTAATTTTAGTTCTTCATTTTTCTTCCCCCTTTCATAGTTGATCAGTTGCCAAATCTTGTCATTTTTGCCTTCACGACATCTCTTGTCTCTGTCACCTTCTCTCTGCTTACTCACATAGCCAATCCCTTAGTTCAGGGGCTCATCACCTCTTACCTGTATTACTGTCATTGCCTTCTGGTTGGTTTCTTTGCTTCAAGTCTCTGCCTGCTCCAGTCCATACTCCCCAATCAAATCCCACCTGTTACTCCCAATTGGATAGCTCTCTATTGACTCTATTATCTAATACTATTTCATCTTTACATTTCATCCTTTTTAATATCTGTTTTTGTAGGTTTGCAACTTTTATAAATCAGGAGTGTGCTGGGTATTTAATAGCTCCCCCCCCATTATCTACAACACACTTTTAAATTTAACCTGCATTTATTAAGATTTACTCCATTACTTTTTAAAGTCCAGAAAATCAATAAAACAATAAATCAAGCTCTGCTTTGTAGCATTTGCTGATTTCAGAGGTATTAATGATCACACCAAAAATTTAACAATTAGTTTTCAAGGAGAACCAGTTTTAGCTGGTATCAGCATACAATTATGTAATTAGTATGGTAATACATATAAATAATTTATAAATAAGTAAATGCCCATATACTGGGGGTTAGTGCTCAAGATTTTGTTTTGTTGGGGTTTTTAAAAAACTTTTAATAGGGGCCTAGAATCAAAAAAGATTGGAGACCCCTTCCATAGGAAATGGGTCTGTATTTAAACTACTTTGTGGTTGAGACACAGAAGCTACACAGAGGACTAGAAGGTGATGGACTATGTGTGATCTCACCTAAACTTTTTCCTGTTTTCTTGTTATACTGCTTACAGAGAATGGGCTAAAAGCTTTCCAAGGTTTAAAGAATGAACTATCCTGCTAATCTGGACCAAATAAGGCTGACCTTTGAGACAAGTGACCTTCACCAAGCCAGGTATTTGTGAGAAGTATTCAGGACTTCTGCAGAATGGAGACTGACTGGCTCCAAAGTTAAGATTGGGAGGATAAGAAGCCTCTTACCTCTCTGGTCTGACTTCCTTGCTGGTGAAGTGCTGGCTGTAGTTAATAAGCATTGCCCTCTGGTGGGGGTGGCTCAATGTGAAATGAGCTGGTACCTAATGCTAGCAGAGAGACTTTTTTTTTTTTTAGCAGGGGCTTCAGGAAGCCCACAGGACTTACCCACCCTGTTCCCCATTCGTTGTCACTTGTCCCATCATCCCCCTGGAAATATAGGACAGCACCTATGGTGCTCAGCTAACCTTCCTTTCCCCCTGCTTGGCAACAACCATAATAAACTTTTCCAGCCCAACCAAAATTTTGTCCTCAGCTTGTTTCCTGAAGGTGGCCTTCAGGACAGCTTCCATTTATGATCGCTCAGTCATCCACTCTTATCTGTATTACTGGTCTTATTGTAAACTAATTACATGGGGGATTAATTATAATGGGAGAAAAAAAATTTTAGCCAGTTTTGAAAGTTTCAGATTTAATTTAGAAAATTTCAATTATGGAGGTAATTACTGAGCTTGAAATCATTTGCATTATGTCCTTAATTATCCTTTCATTTGTATCCAAGATCATCAATAGAGATTCTTGGGATGGGAATTTGGAATAAATGATTAATCCTAATGAGCTCTTTGTTTTTGCTCTCTACATTTTAGCAACTACTTCCTCCTATCCTGGAAAAGAGCAGAGCTTGCCAAGGGTAGAGGAACCTTAAATTAGAAATGAGGCCTTCATAGAGATCAGGAGGAACAAAAAGGCTTTGGACTGAAGAGAGAAGAGGGTGAGTGTTCAACATCAGTCTTCTCAATGGTTCAGCGTGGTTCCTTTATTCTTGGCTCTGTCCCATTTTTCAAAATATAACTTTGCCAAGTCATTATCAATTATTTCTCCACTCAAATCCAGCCCCAAGTCATGTCAAACCCAGCAACAGAGACAAGAGCCTCATGTCACCTGAAATGGATCTTTTCAAGTTTTCTTTGCAAGTAATAGAAATCTAGTGGATTAGTCCCCAGCAAGATTCTGGAATGGCTTATTAAACACTAATCAAAACAGCTTGCTATCATGGTTTTGTTGTTCAATCTTGTCTAACTTTGCCCCATTTGGGGTTTTCTTGGCAAAGGATACTGGAGTAATTTGTCATTTCCTTCTCCAGCTCATTTTACAGATAAGGAAACTGAAGCAAAAAAAAAAAAAGATTAAGTGACTTGTCCAGGATCATACAGCTAGTAAGCATCTAAGGTTGGATTTGAACTCAGATCTTCCTGACTCCAGGCCTGGCACTCTATCCACTGCACCACCTAGCTGCCCTGCTATCATGGTAAGCACAATAAACTGCAGAGTTTGGAAAGTAGCAAGAAGACCATTTTGAATAGCATGTAGAAGCTGTGTTCATGAAGGGCGGAAATGGAAAACAAACCAGGAAAGGTAGGCTGGAATTAGACAGTGAAGGGCCTTAGTGTATTAAAGGTGAAGCTGAGGAGTACATGGAAGAATGTTTTATTTTTAAAGGATAGAAGAGATCTGAGCACATTTGTATAATAGGGGTTGGAGAAGTGATTGGCATCCTGCGATTTATAGTTCAGAGGGACAAGGATTTCCTCTTAGCCCTGAGACCATTTTGAAGCCATCTTGACCTTGGAGACAGATTTAAGTCATACATTCCCTGGAGTTGTAAAAGGGACTGACATACAGTCAAGGGTCAGAGGGAGAAGCTGGAATGGGGGCCATAAGAGAAGAATAGCCCTCCTGGCTGCCACAGCTTGGAGTCTGGGTTGCATGGTATGATAACATCCAGAAAGAGTTGAGCCTTGGCCACCATGGGCCAGATGCAAGGAAGACTCAAGCTTCTTCTCCAGTCTAACCACTTATGTCCTCACCTCTGACCACAACAATCCTGGCTGTCAACACCTTCAATACTTTCTTGAGACTTTTCTCTAATGCTTTTTGAAAATTTTCTTCACTGGGAATGTATAGCATTCAGTGTCTAAGTGAAATCAGTCTCCATAATGTGAAATCCCTACCAGGCTTCCAGGAGATTTAATTCAGAGTTGAGGTCTCTTCCCCATAAGTACAACATGTCTCTCAGTTCTAAAGCCTTGTGGGAAATGGAATTCCTGAAAGGTCCTGTAGAGAACATGGATGAGAAGATCATAGATTTATAACTACAAGGCACTGTTTATATAGGCCTTCGAATCCAATCCCCTCATTTTACAGATGAGGAAACTGAGGCCTAAAGAGATTAAGCAACTTACCTGAGATCACACAAGTAATAATATTATAGTTTGATTGCACTGTACTCTGGTCAGATCACATCTATATTATGTTCAGTGTTGAGTGACATATTTTAAGAATATTAACTAATTGGAGTCCATACAGAGGAGGACGATGACCAGGACGGTGAAGGATCTTGGAAGCAAGTCAGATGGGAAACAAAACAACCACCATGTTTAGTCAGGAGAGGAAAAGATTTAGAAGACTTGGTGGGATGGGGTGGGGGAGGGGTTGTCATGGGGAGATGGAGGCAAGGAGTGGGAGTGCAAAAGGAATGAGGATATGATAGCTGTGCCATAGATACTTAAAGGGTCTTTATCTGGCTCAAAAATAAGAAAGACCTTTGTCACCATTACAGTTGCCAAAAATAGAGGGTGTTGTAGTTGTTGTTGTTTTAAAATGAGATAATGAGTTCCCCATCACTGGAAGTATGCAAGCAGGGGCTGGATGACTATTCTTATTAGGGGTCATGTGAAAGAGGTTTAACCAGATGATATCTAAGGTCCATCTCAAGCCTATGATTCTGGGGTTCCTGCCTCTTTGATTTTCCTGACCCATTTAAGCTTTTGGGACCTGGAAGGCCCTGATCCTTAAGGCTCTAATGGAAAAGCTGATGACTTTCCAAGGATGTTTAAAGTGAGTCTAAATTTGTTTGCTTTAGAACTAAGATTGGGGAAAGGTTTGTTTTTTTTTAATATGTGACAGTGGATGGGTTAGGATTTGGGAAGGAAGGAAACGAATAAAGAAATGTTCCTCACTAAAGCAGGGAGTTTAAATGATTTTATAAGCTAATGAAACACTTTGTCACCATAAGGTTTCATATAAATGTGTGCTACTGTCATTACTGGTGTTCCCTAATTAGTATTGAGTCCCTGAAGGTACCAGACCTTAGAGAATCACCTCTCAGACTGCAGGGCCTCCTGAGTCTGGGTCTGATCATAGTATTTTGACCCACGGTAAGCATTCCTGCATTTCCAATTAGTCAATGACAAATTCAGAGGACTCTGGGACAGTGGACAAGCATGATGTCATTTATCCTTCTACATCCCTAGGAGATGTGTGGGGGGTGGGGTGTTTAGAAGAGTGTGCAGATGTTGGGATGAGGGAAGCACAGAGAAAATAATGTTTTCCTAGGTTTCTTTTGTGGAAGAGGCCATAGTTCACAAGCCAAAGACAAACCAGTGTTTCTTCTTGTTTCTTTTTTTTCCTTTTCTTTTTTAAAGAATAGGGTCTCCCTATCTGACCCAGACTTGTGACATGTGGGCCCTCCCACCCACTCTACCCCCATACAACAATTCACCACACTAATGCCAGATTTAGTGTGTGTATTAGATCAGCTTAGCCCACTGCAGCTCAGGAGGTCCACCAGCCTCAGTCTCCTGAGTAACTAACTTCCACCTCTAGCCCAGCTAGTGACTCTTTTTGATGGTGGATAGCCCTGAGCCTCAGTGAGGGACCCTTGGAAAGACCATAGATTCTCTACCACTGGAGGAGGGCAAATGTTGTTCCAATTTTTTTTAAAAAGAGAAAGAAAGAAAGAAAGAAAGAAAGAAAGAAAGAAAGAAAGAAAGAAAGAAAGAAAGAGAAAGAGGGAAAGAAAGAAAAAGAAAGAAAGAAGGAAAGAAGGAAGGAAGGAAAGAGTTGAGTCTATAGACTATAGGCCAGTGGAAAAATTCTAGAATGCCTTGTGGGGAGGCCAGGGAGATCTAGTCGAGCCAGAATACAACATCCTCTGACTAGCTAATAAAAGGAAACACATCTGTTGGGGCTCATGAGCTGTGGTTTTCAGGGTTTACTGATTCAGAATATTTCAAACCCGAGACAGCTTTTCTGGGGGACTAGGGGACTACATACCATTAAACTGATAGTAAACATCATTAAAGGAAAGTGTTGCTCACAAAGAGCCAGAATGGCTTCATTAAGAACAGGATATTCTAGACTGACTTCATTTTTGACAGAGGCACTAGGTGACCCTGAGGTCCCTCCCTTCTCTGAGATTCTGCAATAATGAAACCTACATAGCACTGGGTAGTTACAGAGCACTTCACGATCCTCATTCTGTGAGGAAAGATATTTTTAGCCTCATATTCTACAAGTGAGGAAACTGAGCCTCAGAGATCTTAAATAACCTGCCCAGGCATAGAACTAGCTAGTGGCTGATCTGGGATGAAGGACCCAGGCCATGATGGCTTCGATTCCAGTATTCTGTCTTCTACCTCTGGGCCTGATCCATCCATCAGGCTGGTTTTCTGAAAATGAACCAAGGTGAAAGCTTTTTCTCTCTGTCTCTCTGTCTGTGTCACTGTCTCTGTCTGTTTGTCCCTGTCTCAGTCTTTCTGTCTCTCTGTCTCTCTCTGTGTCTGTCTCTATGTCCATGTCTTTCTGTCTGTCTCTCTCTGTCTGTCTGTCTCTGTGTGTGTCTTTCTGTCCCTGTCTCTCTCTATGTGTGCGTGTGTGTCTTTCTTTCTCTCTGTCTCTATCTCTGTCCCTTTCTCTCTGTCTCTGTTTCTCTGCCTCTCTCTGTCTCTCTGTTTCTGTGTGTCTGTGTGTCTGTCTGTTTCTCTCTTTCTCTTCTGAAAACGTTACACTCGTTCCAGTCCTACAGCCCAAGAGTTGAAAACCGGGGGGGGGGGGGGGGGGGGGGAGGCGGTGTAGAGAACTTCAGGGAAATCATTTGGAAAAACAGGAAAGTCATAGAATAGTAGCAGTACTATTTTTGTTGCTGTTTTTTAATATCTCCAGAGAACTCCCAAGCAGGCAACCCAGCGCCAGTCTCCTTGAGCGTGGGCAAAAACAACATGAGTCATTGCACTTTCCTACCCAAAAGAAAAGAAATGCCCCCATCCCTGGCCCATCTGTAGGACTTGAGCGTTTTCTCCATTCCAAATGTCCACCCACTCTGCCTCAGCTTGGGAGTGGTGACTACCGCTGCCGGCCCTGAGTCGCTATTTCCAGCCCCAGTCCTTTGTACAGTGCGAGAATGGAGACAGTCGGACTTGCACCGAGTTCTGCAAAGGCCACTAGGTGGCGCTCGGCCTCCTCATTCAAAGCTGACGCCAACCGAGAGTCCTGAGGAAAAAAGTGATGCTGTCACAATCCCAGGGAACTTGGAGTTATTTCAGTTCCTTCAGAGCTTCCCATATTACCTACTCCAGTGAGAAAATGTCATCAGGAGCACATGTCTAGGTCCAGAGTGGCTGGACACCCTGATCTGCAAGCCGTTCAATCTGTGAATTGGGCATTTTTGGGGGGTGTGAGCTGAGCCTGACCCACTTCTTACAGGCTAGGGAGCCTGAGATGTCTTTATTAGGCTGCATGGAATCTTAAGAAACAAAGATATTGAATATCTTCTCTCTTCCATCATAGAGAGAGGTAAAGCTCTCTCTCTTTCTCTCTCTCTGTCTTTGTTTCTGTCTCTGTCTTTGTCTGTCTCTCTCTGTCTCTCTTGCTATCTGTGTCTCTGTCTCTGTCTTCGCCCATCAGTCTCTGTCTCTATCTCTATCTCTGTCTCTGTCTGTCTCTCTCTCTCTGTCTCTCTTGCTATCTCTGTCTTTGTCTCTTTCTGTCTTTGTCTGTCTCTTTCTCTCTCTGTCTCTCTGTCTCTCTCTCAGAGCCATAGAACAAGTAAATCAAGAAAACACTGAATAATTTCCATACTCTGAGCATTAGACTGGGAAAGACATCAGGCCTTCCTCTAGAGAGATTTCTAAAACTGGTCCAAATTCCCACTGTTAATTCGTGAAGGGGATAATGGTTTTTCTCTCCAGCAGAGTGCAGACTAAACCTAGACTTGGAAATATGAGCCACAGAACCCACTC